AAAGAATCGATTTCCTAGTGTGTTCTTTAATTTCAATTTTAGCTAGATGTCATGTCAATGCGTCTAACACTTGCCTGGAATAGGGGTAAGGGAGGGGGGGGCAAGCGAGATCTTTACTACAGTTGTAACAATGTCCATATATATATTAATGATCAGCTCACGAGTGCAGTTGTATTTACACTTTGCAGTCAGCATGGAAATAAACCCTTATTAGATTCCTTTAAAAGAATATAGCCCTTGTCTACGAAAAAAAAAACCTTAATATGTCCTCTAAATTATATTGACCGTTTATGGTGGCTATTCATTCCATATTTACAGGTTATAGTTGTGAAGAACGACTGTTAAGACACAAATGGTGAGAATGCAAGACTACCATGGTTATTAATTTAGTCTACGTTGTTGTATTTAATAAGCATGTGTATTTTTGGTGTAGCCCTACCATATCGCAATAATTGCTGAACCAGCTATGTATAAATACATATCTATAGCATAAAGATACATCGACTGAGGCATTCTAAATAAATGTTCTTACTTTTAAATGTACTATACTGGTTCTAGAGATTAATAATTATTTCAACAAAAATAGTTTCTTTATGTGACCCTAGCAGTGTTCCAGCCACCAATTGGATTGCATATAAATTAGTCACAGACACAAAGACTGTTTACCTGTTAAGAGCTATGGCTATTCTTTATTTCTATGTATCCATGATCTACAGATGCATTTTCGACAGATTATGAGCCCTTGCACTCTTCTGATCAAACGTGTTTCAAAACGTACTTGTTATAGGCATTCATGTTACTTAAATTCAAATAAGCGTTGTTCCACTACATTTTGATAAAGTTACCAAGTATGTTCTTTAATCAGACATTTTTGGTGATGTTTTAAAAATATACAAAATTTGTGTTTTTACAAGCTTTTATTTAATTACTCGTCAGTCTGTCGTCAGTCGTCAGTCTAGATAGAAACGCAGGACTGAAAATTCGGACAGTTCTACTTGACCGATACGATTCACAGTTGGCACGTGGGTCAAGACATGAAGACAATGCAATCTGAAACTAAATTTGACTTAATTGGATGCCTAATTATTTTTTTATTAATTAATTAAAATTTGGACCGAATCAATAGGCATGTCTATCCAACCACACCACACGCGTCATCACGTTCAATAGCTGCGCCATCAGGTTTAATAGCTGCGCCATCACGTTCAATAGACGCGCAATGGTTTTTAGTCATGTAACACTATTGTAAATAAAACATGTAAAGTACTGAAAAAAAATTCATTAAAAAACGTTTTAATAACAAGCTTTTATTACTAATGCACTAAAAAGTAGAAAATAAATTATACACTACTATTTAACCCTTAAATGCATACCGGTACAAATCTGCAACATACCAGTTACCTTCCCTTAAAATATTAGCCTAAACATGTTTTATTCTGTGCATCACGTTGTTTGACTGCTACAATGTTAACCTACAGCTTGCGCATGTCTAAGTGACCTAGATTTGTTTTACCGCCAAGCCGATCTCAAATTTGTGCATGATCACAAGGTTTTTTATATCAGCATTTTTGGTTGGCGTTTCAAAGTTCATCAAAGTCAAATAAACTGGTTTTGGAATTTCAAAAAATATGTTTCTGACAACCTAAGGTATGTATTACATATTGTATGTGTTGTTTTGAAAATCAATTCATAATTTATTTTAAAATCTTCACAAAACTTTGGTTGCAGTGCTGCAACGTTATGCAAACTGACCTACTTTTGCACTATTTTTTTTTACTTTATACATCAGCATTGGTGATTATATGGTACCTTGTTTTTCTTCTAGTTTCAGCATAATCATTAAGAAATCAATGTGAATCAAGGTGAAGAATAATATGAAGTAGATGCTCTTGGTGATCCAGAGTATCTTCCTGTATCTCCTGGACCAGTGTGGACCCTAGATATCCTGGACCAGTGTAAACCCTAGATATCCTTGACCAGTGTGGACCTTAGATATCCTGGACCAGTGTGGACCCTAGATATCCTGGACCAGTGTGGATCCTAGATATCCTGGACCAGTGTGGACACTAGATATCCTGGACCAGTGTGGATCCTAGATATCCTGGAACAGTGTGGACCCTAGATATCCTGGACCAGTGTGGACCCTACATATCCTGGACCAGTGTGGACCCTAGATATCCTGGACCAGTGTGGACCCTAGATATCCTGGACCAGTGTAAACCCTAGATATCCTGGACCAGTGTGGACCCTGAATCTCCTGGACCAGTGTGGACCCTATATATCCTGGACCAGTGTGGACCCTGGATATCCTGGATCAGTGTGGACCCTGGATAAGTGTGGACCCTGGATCTCCTGGACCAGTGTGGACCCTAGATATCCTGGACCAGTGTGGACCCTAGATATCCTGGACCAGTGTGGACCCTAGATATCCTGGACCAGTGTGGACCCTAGATATCCTGGACCAGTGTAAACCCTAGATATCCTGGACCAGTATGGACCCTAGATATCCTGGACCAGTGTGGACCCTAGATATCCTGGACCAGTGTGGACCCTGAATCTCTTGGACCAGTGTGGACCCTAGATATCCTGGACCAGTGTGGACCCTGGATATCCTGGACCAGTGTGGACCCTAGATATCCTGGACCAGTGTGGACCCTACATATCCTGGACCAGTGTGGACCCTAGATATCCTGGACCAGTGTGGACCCTAGATATCCTGGACCAGTGTAAACCCTAGATATCCTGGACCAGTGTGGACCCTGAATCTCCTGGACCAGTGTGGACCCTAGATATCCTGGACCAGTGTGGACCCTGGATATCCTGGATCAGTGTGGACCCTGGATAAGTGTGGACCCTGGATCTCCTGGACCAGTGTGGACCCTAGATATCCTGGACCAGTGTGGACCCTAGATATCCTGGACCAGTGTGGACCCTAGATATCCTGGATCAGTGTGGACCCTAGATCTCCTGGACCAGTGTGGACCCTTGATATCCTGGACCAGTGTGGACCCTAGATATCCTGGATCAGTGTGGACCCTGGATATCCTGGACCAGTGTGGACCCTGGATCTCCTGGACCAGTGTGGACCCTAGATATCCTGGACCAGTGTGGACCCTGGATCTACAAGACCAGTGTGGACCCTGGATATCCTTGACCAGTGTGGACCCTGGATCTCATGGACCAGTGTGGACCCTGGATAAGTGTGGACCCTGGATATCTAGGACCTGTGTGGACCCTGGATATCTAGGACCAGAATGGACCCTGGATCTCCTGGACCTGTGTGGACACTAAGTCTCGTGGAATAGTGCAATGACAGGTGCATATTCACATCAAGCTCAAACAGTTTGCCACAAGTGCAACATATATCTTCGTTGTAACAAGACCAACAACTGGCTTAAAAAGTATCACCTTACTACATAATGTTGCAGACATGCAACATTTCGGATTTTAATTAAACAACATGTTTAAACTAAAAATATTTTTTTACTTGACTATACTCTTCATATACCCACCAAAACAATATAAATATATTTTTTTCAATCATTATTAAAAAGTCATGCATTTAATGGTTAAATTACTATAAAGAAAAGCGTGGGTCTCTTCTCAAATATTAGTAAAGGTATCCAATAGGTACTAAAGTACTAAAGTGACCCACGCTTTTCTTTATAGTAATTTAAATAGTAGTGTATAATTTATTTTCTACTTTTTAGTGCAGTAGTAATAAAAGCTTGTTATTAAAACGTTTTTTAATGATTTTTTTTTACTTCCCTTTTTATTTTTTTCAAAAAGTGAGAAAAGCCAATTTGAATGCAATTAATTTAAAAGATGTACTTATTTTTGAGGTTTGAAAAAAAATTTAGTTTGTTCTCTCTGTATGTGTGTTTATGCTAAGTACATAAGATTGTGTTTGTGAAATATCATCAGATCACTTTAATTCCCTTACACTTACTCCTTACATTCTTAATGCCAAGCTTTATCCCTAAACTTTAGGGAACCCAACCTAACTCCACCGAACATATTTGGAATACTACTGCACAATTTATTTTTTACTTTCGTCACTGTTTTTCTCTACGATACAACTTTCATCCAATCGCCATGAAACTTTGGGAATTTGTTGAGAATACTCCTGTAGAGGTTTCTGCGGGGAAAAAATAAAATTCGCAGCGGTGGAGCCCCGGCAGGGCGCGATTCAATTCTTCTCTATAAACGGTATATAAACAATAGAAGTAGGATCCTGTTCAACACCGTTTATGCGAGTGCCATGAAACTTTGGGGAGAAATGAGAATACTCTTGAGAAGATTTCTGAGAAAATAAAATTTCAAATTCCTAGGGCTAGCGCGCAGGGCGCGATTTGTGTTTTTTTTTTCTTCTCAATATACAGTATATAAAGATAAAAATCTATTGCGGTTTGACACCGTTCATTCGGGTTGCAATTTTTGGCGCGATAGTCTTTACCGTGAGCACTATGGCACCTACGTTCGTTTTAAACAGTGCGAAAGACTATGAATAACATGGGGCGTTTTGTCGTTCACTAATTTGAATCAGACGTGTTCGTCGGCGCCCGTCAGGTTGCTATTTGGCGCCCCGGGATATCCCGGTAACGCTATGACGCATACGTTCGTTTTAAAGATTGAGGTTAGAATATGGATGAGAAGTATTATTTTTGTTGTTCACTAAACTTAATCAGGCACGTTCGACCGCGCCCTGCAGGCTGCGATTTGCCCAGGGCTATCCTGGGACTTTTTTTTTTAAACCCGCGGCAGCGCGCAGGGACGGTCGCGCTTGTTTATAATTAAATGTCAGCAAAGCCGACAAAAAAAAACGGATTGATTTTGGGAAAAACAAATAAAAATATTATCACCGAATGTTTATATATATATATATATATATATATATATATATATATATATATATATATATATATATATATATATATATATATACCTGTTGTCGTTTCTAACCCCTGAATGTATTTCTTTTAAAACAATGTAAAAAACAGAGCTGTGGCTGAACCAGGTATTCAACTGAAACTGGTCAACTCCACGACAGGTCCAGGTCAAATAATGAGAAATGCATTATGGCACACTGGAGACACAAGCAATCAGGTATAACGTTTTAATTGTGTATAAACCCGGTGCAGTGGCGTTGCTAGGTCGAGTGTCACCTATATATATATATGTCATACATATATATATATATATATATATATATATATATATATATATATATATATATATATATATATATATATATATATATATATATGTATATAATATGTACATACCTCTATGTATATATAGAAGTTCTTTACCTCTTATGAGTATTCTATATTTGTAATTAAATTACTATTATTTTACATATTCCATTGCAAATATACTGCTTTAAGTATTTTAATGCGTGAATTAATTGTTTCTAAACCGTTTGGCAACGCATTTCATGGCTGACAAAAAGCCTCAAAATGTGTAACTGTGACAAGCCAACCAGTTCTATTTACTTATTGATATTGCTCTCTATTTATTGTCGATTGACATGTAGATGTGTACATTTTCAATGTAGTTTCATCACAATCCACTTTGGTAGACGGTGTATTTGGTTACCCCTCCCCGCGCCAGAAGTCGATTGACATATCAATTATTACAATTCTCAACAAAACCTTTTTTCTCGGCAAATGCTACAGCGTTTACTTTGTGTCATCCCCAAACATTATCCGGTGTTAGCTGTAAACTGTACACAAATAATACTAACGACGTTTACATATAATCGTTTACTAATACTGGATGTGGCAATGTTTCTTTATCGTTAGCAGGTTTACGTCATAGTGTCACCCTCCTCCCACTCTTGTCGGGATTTGTCAATTTTGCTATTAAAAGACTATTTAATCATTCATTGAACTGGAACGATCATTGTTTTTCTCTCTATATATATTGTGCTTTTTTTTGCCTTGGTGTTGCCCCTCCCACCCCCTCTAAATGGTGTCACCCGATGCGGTCCGCACCCCGCGTCCCCCACCCCCTCGCTACGCCTCTGATCCTGTGTAAAAGAATTTCAGAGAAGTATTTTTGTCTCACCTTTATCCTAAATTTAACTGTTAGGCACGTAATAAAAATTGAAAATTTTATTTTTTGTCGATATAACGTTTGAAATGGTAATTACTTCTAACTTGTTTTTAATTTAGTTTTTTTTTTTTTTGTAAACAAATGAATAGGTAAAATTATTATGGAAAGATCCTAGAAACGTCGGTTGGAAAGAAAAAACTGCTTACAGATGGGAATTGATTCATCGACCTACTAGGGGACTAATCAGGTTGTAAATATCAAATGTGAAAGATAACTAAATGGCCTAATAATTTAAGTGATAACCTGAACATAAAATTCGTCTTTAAATATTTAGGTTAATGTATATTTTGTTACATGGTTTTATATTTTGAATGTTTTTTCTTCTTCAAGAATATTATTGTTTGAAAACATGAATCTCGTGGCAGACTCTAAAAATATCTATGACAACACATTAAAAGGTGGCCGCCTTGGAGTATTCTGTTTTAGTCAGGAAATGATAATATGGTCAAATTTGGTGTACAGGTGTAATGGTAAGAACCAATATTCTTCAGCTATTCAGACCCTGTTTAATTATCTTGAGATAATAAGATGAAGATTGAAATGTTCTTTTGCAGAATTCATTCCTCCCGGTCTTTTGGAATCTAATGAGACAGAATACACAAATGATTATGAATATTAAATAAAAGTAATGACCCACTCAGAAAAACAAACCGTATGTATCAGAGGAACCAGGTTATGTCGACGATGTACAAGTTTGCCAAAACACATCAAGATAACCGATGATGAACACAACTGGAAACCAATACAGCAGCAATTCATGAACATGAGCATGAATATTCTTTAAAAATATGATTAGTATTATTAAACGAGTATGTACATGCGCGTGTTTGTTTGATGTTTGTTTTTTTTAGTTTTTTTTTACACAGCATTTATCATTTAATCAAGTTATTAGCGTGCTACAATATAAAATATACATTGGTCTAAATATTTGGTAACAAAAGGCTAAAAATAATAACTCGCTTTTTTTTTTTAAAAATAATGCACTGAAAAGTGAAAATATTAATTTTCAGTAAAAAAACAAAAGCGTGGGTCGCAATAATATAATGTATTAATTAAATAAAGAGTTTCCTGTAGACCTCGTGGGGGGGGGGCGCCCCTTCGAAGTCTACCCCCCCCCCCCCCCCAGCAGAATGGAATTTATATAGAAAATATATACTTTTACGAGTGTCCGTCGTCGTCGTCGTTCCCCCCCCCCCGAAATTTCAAGTGCCCTCCCGAAAAAATAAAGTCTGGAACTGGAAGAAGCACCAATTTTCCTCTATATTATTATACACACGCTGATTGCCTTCAATGTTGCTTGTAAGTTTCGGTCTCCCTTGTTTAAAATGAAATGTCGTTAGCCATGAAGAGATTAAAATTTTCCAAGTAAATTAATTGTTTAGAACGTGGTATCTATTGACAACAACAACAAAAAGAAAAAAAAACATGGCTGCTAGCCAGTAGCGTACGCAGGGGGGAGCAGGGGGAGCGGTCGATCCCCCTCTGGCCATTTTCAGCAAAGTGGCGCCTTTTTGGGAACTTTTAAAACTCAAAGTTTTAAACAATGATATTTGTTAAAAAATATTTTTGGTCGGCACATCTATGTAAATCACAAGATTTCTTTTCATGCAGCAATTAAGCATTATTGTACTAGTCTAGTAGTGTCTACGTTTACAACACGTATTAACAGCTGCATCAGTTTGCCATTCTAAAAATAACCATTGCGATGCATTCCAATGTTTAAAAAACCTCTACGAGTAGTACCACTTGGCAAGAGGAGTGTTAAGTTTAAGGCAAATGTATAATGTATTTGCTCACGAATAATTGAATTAGAAAATGTTATACATAAAACTTCACACATAATTACTTTATATATACAGTTTGAATCGTGTGATTAATTTTTTAAAAGATTACAATACAGAAACAAATACAACTGATGTGGCACCTCTATTTAAATTTACTTATGGGCGAACTGCGTAGCGGTGGGGAAATTTTGAAAAGTTCAACACGTCATCACGACGAAGTAGTAGTATTCTTACAGTTTGGGTGATAATGATTACGATTACAAATTATATGAAACAGTTACAACCCCCCTTCCCCATGGACCCCTCTGTAAAAAAAAATATTGTCATAATACCACTGCTACTTATTTAAATCTATTTCTGTAATATATATTTGTGTAATATATATTTGTGTAATATATATATGTATGTTTAGAACAGTCATCTAAAAACTGACGCTATTTTCACTCTGAGTTGGTTATCTCCCCCCCCCCCCCCACACACACATACACCTCACCACCACAATTGTGTAGAGCGACATTAATGTCACATGGATTGGATACGCTGGATTGGATAGTTGACCTAAAGTGAACGGACAGTGGTGAATGAAGTTGAACACCCCCCCCCCCCCAACCCACCCCGAACTGATCTGTTAAGTACATGTAGAAAAACGCTTAATGATGTACCAAAGTACCATGTCGCCAGGAAATTAGCTTTTTAAACGTAAAACTCTGTGAATATTGTTTTTGCAATTATTAGTAAAGAGATGTGTGATCAATACAGTGATCTAACCCATACCTATCACTATGTTAAAAACTGATCTTTAAAGAACACAATGAAGCAGTAGTTAATTAAAAATATATGTTCTGAACTAAAAGACCGATATTTAGTTAACTGTAGGCTGATATTCCGAATAATGTCTATTAAATCAAAAAGCGTGGTTTTATACCAACTCTGATTTTAAGAACTTTCATTATGGTGTAATACTTTAGCATTTATGATGACGATATATTAAATTATGATTATAGACAAAAACATTTTTTAAACACGAATAGTGTTAAACAATTGCATTATATTCTAAAATAATTATTTATTTGTGTAATAGATTGACGATAGAAGCATGTGATTGTATATAAAACGTTTATTGGCCTCAACTACATGATGGTAACGAGAGTGAGCGGAAGTCACGAGACACAAATATATATATACATATAAGGGACATCACTCAAGATAACAGTATAAATATAATACAAATACAAGAAGAGTGAGTTCCCTTGACTTCACAAGTCTCACTATATTACAATTTGTTTTGACATTTATAATTAGATGTGTAGATATATAGTTATTTATATTAAGAGAGTGATTATTTCCCCTATTTCACTTGTCTCAAATATTTTCCCAGGAATTATTATGTAAGAATTTCTTTGTACAAGAATTACAAAACAGATTGTGTTAGGTTCATTGTTTTTGGTTGTAGTGTGTGTATATTTGGGTTTTTTTTTTGTTTAGATTGATACCACTTTTGTTTTGTCGGCCTACATTGTGTGTTTTTCTTATTTCTTCAGAGTGCTACTTTCAATTTATTTTACATCATAGCGCAGTAATGACATGCAGCTAGTAATTATATATATATATATATATATATATATATATATATATATATATATATATATATATATATATATATATATATATATATATATATATATATATATGTAATACACGTATATAGTACGTGTTAAAAATTCGGCGCCTTTTTTGGCTCTTTTCGCTCCCCCTAAAACGAAAACCTGGATACGCCTCTGCTGCTAGCTGTCTATAGTATAGACATCGCTTCAAGATTTTAAAATACCAAGAGTAACAATGGTAATTTTTTTTTAAACTAATAATAAAATAAAATTAAGTGCTGGTAAGCCTAGGCTATTAATATTATGTTAATATTGCAACTCCATTTAAGAAAACTTGTTACGGATCCGAATTAAATAATAACAAACTGTAGGCTTCTCACTTTGGTCTTTAAAAAATCACAATTTAACTTATAATATATTTTTCTTTAAGCTAGCCTACATCTTGTAGTCTATCATTTTAACATTGTTTACGATTTTTAAATAACAAGAGTGGAAGTAAATAAATATGGCTTAAATATGAATATATTTTTGTATATTCTACTAAAATACTAAAGATAATTAGAATATTGAACAACAGTTAAGGGTTAAATCAATAAAAATGTCATGAAATTAAGGTTTAACAACGATGTTCCAGATACTAAATTTGCTATTAAAATCAGCGGCAATCTTAAGAAAATATTTTGAGTCATTTCCCTTTAATTTCTATATGTATGGAAATGTATTGATGTTTGCTAAAACGATTGTCTTGAGTTTAAATACAAAGCATGCGTTTTTTCTTTTACTTCTGCCCTTTAAACAATTTAATTGCCTGACAATAAACACCAGTTCTAATTATCATTATGAGATGTAATTTTTATATATTAAGAAACTCCCTATTTTTATATCTAATGTTTATTTAAATATTAGTTTGAGTTAATTGTTATTGTTTGTGTTATTGTTTGTTTGCTATTTTCATTTCATTTGTTCATGCTTTTTAGCGCAATTTCCATTCTGGAGAATTGCGTTTATTAACCCGTCATTTCTGGATGGGTGAATGGATGGATGTGTGTCCGCAGCTTTAAGTCGTATCTCCTCCTCAACGAAACAATATCGAGGACTAGCTCCAAAGCAATTATATTAAGCAAGTTACGAGGATGAACATAGGCCATAAAAATTCCGGGTTTCTTTCATGGATTTCCCGGAAAAGCTAAAAAACCTCGAAAAAAAATGCAGTTTTTTGCCCATATCTCGGCAACCAGACCACTTAGCGACTTGAAACATGTACCAATCGATTCCTGCCATAATTTAGAACAATATTGCCGAAGAAAGTTTTCAAAAATATCCTTTCGTTCGTCACAAAAAAAATGTTTGAATTAATTAAAATTTGGACCGAATTAGTAGGCATTTTTATCCAACCACACCACACGCATTGCACGTTCAATAGCTGCGCCATCACGTTCAATGGCTGCGACATCACGTTCGGTAGCTAGGCGCGCAATGGTTTTTAGTCATGTAACTCTATTGTAAATAAAACATGTAAAATACTGAAAAAAAAATTAATAAAAAACGTTTTAATAACTAACCAATGGTTTTACTAACCCTGCTCTTGATTTACGCTACGACAGAGCTATTTTTAGATAACATAAGGAAATTGCGCTTAAATGTCACTAGACTTTTTAATTAACTTGTTTCCTTTAATTAGTGATTTAATCATAAATAACGTCACGTTTTTTTACCTCTCTTCACCTTAACCACCCCCTTCCCCCCCCCCCCCTATTTTCGCCGTCACGAAATAGTTGTAATGTCGAAAATTACCTTTTTGCCCTGCCTGTTTAAAAGTCAAGCCATAATTCTAACAAAAAAGACATTTTTTCAGCATTTTTGTATTAGGCGAAATACATAACGTTTCGCGTTTCTTACCCCTCCCCTTTCCCGCGTAAAACGTCGTCTCAAATCCAGTTACTCCACCCTTTAAGTGCGTGATGTCATTTAAGGTATATTTCAAGTCCTAACCTCCAATATACATTTTGAACAACCTTTGTAGTTAAAATGTTGATACCAAATACCCAAAATGAGTTATATGTGGTTGTCCATAAACGATGTCACATATGTTATGCTAATGTGACGTCAACTTACGCAGGACCGCAATTTATGACCTATAATGAAGGGGTGATCGGGGGGGGGGGGGGGGGATTCGTCACGTCAATTATGGAAGACTTCTATAAAGCTGTGCTCAATGAAAATGAGGAACATGAAGCGTTTGTTTTCATGCATACCTTTGCTCATAACGAATGATCATAACTATTGCAAGCCTGTTGTCCTAAGCGGTGTTAAACTACCTCAGCACATCATCCCCACCAAAAAGGGCCTGGCGCTAAATGCCTACCGACGAAAATAGGCCGCACTACATTGACTCCAAATGAAATAACTTCTGACAATAAGGCTCAAACC